CATATGGTTTAGAATTGGCAGTATCAACAGTGCCTTAGTTCAGTCGGACTAGGAGGCACGTTCTTTCTCCACCACAATGGCGCTCAGTGGTTATCCTCGTTCCTTCATTTACTACCAATTTTTGATCATCCTTCTCATCTCCAGCATCTCGTCGGAGCATACACCCTAGCAGCTGTTAACCTGTGGTGCACCCTGAATTATTCTCCCATGTTCTACTGTGAAATAACCGGCCCAGTAGCAGAAACAACCCTGGAAAATTCTCTAGAACGCGCAGAAGAGATTAGATGTGACATCTAAGTCTGAGGAGCGAATAAAGATAATAAATACAAACCACTCCGTCCAGTGTGACATATAAGTTTTTACTACATGAAAACTTATCTCCCATACATGTTTCGGTCCTTACGGACCATCTTCAGAGGGAACATCGGACGGAGTGGTTTGTATTTATAATTGTTAGTGTGACGGACCAGAATGAAACAAATCAAATAAATAAAGAGTAAATAAGTAAGTACATAAATAAATAAATAAATAAAAATAAAAAATGACGGGTTTGGCAGATAGGCGGAAGCATAAGGAATGTATATATATGTGTACATAAAGAAAGAAAGAAAGAAAGAAAGAAAGAAAAAGAGAGGAAGGAAAAATCTAGGACTCAGACGGCACACTTAAAGGATTAATAATAATTAATAAATAAACGAAAAGAGGAATTAAAAAATATGGAAAGAAGGGAACGATAAGGATATTTCACAGGGAACCATATTTAAATACATATTGAGCAAGAATGATCAGTATACATTTGTGAATTGAAGTGCAGTAATTGAAGAGCTGTTGGCATTGGATCCTTAAAATTACGCGCACATGTATCTGCTTGCTGAGCTCTGTTTATAGATTTACACACGACAGTTTGCAAGTTATATGAAAACACATCTTAATGTTTCGTATCCCTGTCGTTTGTTTGTGGTCTGTGGCGCATTGTGGGGCGAATAGACAGGGTACATGGTCTGAAGGAATGCTGAAACTGTTGACGTACAACAAAGGTTTGTACTGATGAAAACCGTTAGGGTCTAGTGCCGGTGATAAATACCATAAATGTCACATGAACACACACACACACACATAAAATCCACAAACTGTAAAGTATGTTTCATGAAGAAAGCAGTCTTCTGGGATTTGGCACCATGTATATGTGGTGTTAACCGACGTTTCGGAGGAAACCGGTGGTTCTCACGGTCTCTTCGCCTGCGGATTTCTTATATTTTCCCTTCTACCCTGAAAATGGAGGCGATACGTTCCTCCGAAACGTCGGTTAACACCACATATACATGGTGCCAAATCCCAGAAGACTGCTTTCTTCATAATCACCGCCGTGAAAACCTCAAATCTGACACAGTCTGTTTCATATTATGTTGTCTTACCGCCCTTTGACGGGTGTCTTCCTGTTTCTTGTTGTAAGCGTGAGAAGACGCTTACTCTTACATACAAGAATTGACCTATGTCTCACTACCCTTGTTCACTGCATTTCATTTTGAACAATTAAGCTTTCAAATGTATAAAGTTGATTACATTAAATAAGTTGCGTAGCAGTGGAACGGTTACAGTTTCTGGGATGCACGGAGTGTAGCATTTTCCCCTACATCATGACCGACCCCGTGAGGTCTACGAGTTTTCCTGGAATGCTTTATAATTGCTCAACTTGTGAAGAAATTCCCTGTTGTTATGAGTCCGTATATTCAGTACCGTGTTCACAAAGGTCAGCAGCTGGACGCTAATCCCAAACACGCTTAATACAGTGTTTATTTTCATACCACATTTTTTAAAGATATATCTTAATGTTTTCCTCCCATATACGCTTATTTCTGTCATGTAATCGCTTCCAGTTAGCTTCTCCAATCAAAATTTGAATGCACTATTTCATTCCCCACGCCTGCTACATTTCCACTCCCACCGCATCCTTCAGGATTTCATCGCTCTAAGAGTAGTCTGTTTAATGAAGAATACGAATTATGAAGGCACTATAATACAAGCCAGAAGGTCGCGGGTTCAAGTCTCGATGAGGTCATTGGATTTTTAAATTGACCTAATCCTTCCAGCCGCCGGTCACGGTAGCCGAGCGGTCTAAGGCATGCACTGTCTTCGCTCGCTCGGAAGCCGGGATCATGGGTTCGAATCCCACTCAGGGCATGGATGTTTGTGTGCGTTTTTCTGTGTTTGTGTACAGGTAGAGGCCTTGCGACGAGCTGATCACTCGCCCAAGGAGTCCTACCGAATGTGTAAGATCAAGAAAAACCGAAGTGAACGGAGAAGTTCATGGAGATAGGCCTAGGCCCACTGGGGCTGTAGTGCCAAGGGATAAATCCTTCCAGCCGCACTATAGCCCTGGGGTGGACTCAACCTCTAACAGAAATGAATACCAGGCATCTTCCTGGGTGTAAAGGGCGACCGGCGCGTGAGGCTGACAGCCTCACTGTCATCTGTGAACCGATTGTCTAGAAAAACGTTGGAACCTCGACGTCTCATAACCCCATAGGCTTCACGGCCTGTTAGAAGGATAGCTTTACGTTTTACCTTACTTCTGTTAGTTCCTGTCTTTTAGGTCCAAGTATTCTACTCGACACTTCTCTTCCAAACATCCTCAGCTTTAGCCTACCTCTGTTTGGCGAGGGAATGATTTCAGAGCTTTATCGCTCCACCTTTCGTTGAAAAACGAAATTAGTCAATCATCGTGTAATATTATAGACTATATTTCCGAAAATTTCCACCCGTTATGTATAAATGTTCAGGTCAATTTTAATATCACAGGAAGGAATTGAGGGTGCGATAGAAACGACACTGCAAATGCAATTACACACTGTATCATTAATTGTAGTTGTAATTTATATAGAGTTCATTAATGATCACGCTTAAATTTTAAAATGTTCATTGAGCCGTAGCAATATCAAACATAGGAGAGGGGCTCCGAGACCCATTTGCTTTCAAAAGATGTTCCTGAAAAGTGAATCAGGTGACAGGACCATACTCTCTATATGTGGCAACTGCCTAATTCCTGAAGACTTAGATATGGCTATATAATAGTGTTATCGGGCGTAGAGGAAATGTTACTACGTAGTTCAGGAAAACCTCTTCGCTGCGGTATAATCATTACATCGAGTGTGGAGAAAATGCTACTACCCAATTGCAGAAGACAGAGCCACTTCGGTATGACTAGATAGAGAAGTCCATCACCAGCCAGTGTTGTTAAAGTTGATGTTTCAAATGTACTCGTATTTCGGTTTGTTTGAAGTTTTTGGTGGTCTCCAGTAAGTAACAACTGTAAGTCACTAACCTAGTATGATTCTGTAGTGTTATAGCGATCCTGTAATTTACTTGGCCTTGCTGCTTGAAGACTTGTTAGTTCAGGGAGGTCGTCAGATCGAGCCTCTGTAGCTGCTTTTTATCCCTCAGTTCATTTTGTTTCTCACGTTGCTATGGCAGCGCCATCGATCGACATGAGATTGCACAAATCAAGGCCAAACAAACGAGATGCGAGACACACCAGCCATTGCCACTGTTTCCCAGAGCTGCAGGAAAACGAAAATTTCGTAATGAGTTTCATACTGTTTACTGCAACTAGTATTCTTTGGGCGATTACATGCTGGAGGAAGAGCGCACGGAGGAATCAGATAACACATGCATTGAGGACACTGTCTTGTGGGATGTGACGCAGTATAGTCTGATAAATTCGGAGGAAATTTCTGCTTCCTTCTTCAGGATGGAAGAACCTCTTCCCGAAGATTGCCCTAGAAGACATAATACTCGTATCATTGTCACCGACCTCAAAACCTCATACCTCATGCTTGGATGTTATTTTGCAGAATTTCTTCAGTAGAAAGCTCCAGAGAGTTGTAGATACAGTTTTAATTTGGCGAAATTTGATCACATAGACCCTCGACCGGCGATGTAAAGTTGCGAGATAAGATGTATGTGAACGATGAACTGGGAACGGTGTGTATGTCCGCGTAGTTGGTTGAGACTCTATGCTACAAGCCGGAAGGTTGCAGGTTCGATTCCCGACGAGGTCATTGGATTTTTACAATTGACCTGATTCTTCCAGCCGCACTATGGCCATGAGGTCGATTCGGTCTCTAATAAAAAAGAGTACCAGGAATCTTCCTGGATGATCTGGTCGGATGATCTATCAGAGACATGTGGGCGGGTTCCTTGTATTTCCTGTATGTGGTGTTTGGTTCGATCTGCAAGACCTTCATTTCATACCAACATATTTTGTGGCCTACTTCGTGCGCATGTTGGGCTAATTTTGATTTTTCAAGCAGACCTTGCGTCAGGTTATATTTGTGCTCATTAATGTCTACTTCTAAAGGTCTGCTTGTTTCGCGGATGTAACATCTGCCACAATCGCATGGGATATTGTACACACACTGCTTCCTCTGCTGGGTATCTCTAGCCGGTCCAGTTTTCATCAATGTCCCACGGAATGTATGTTTAGTTTTGAAAATGATCCTGTCATGGAAACCGTTTTCAGTGCGTCTGAATTTCTCTGAGATACTCCTAACATATGGGATAATGACTATGGCCCTGGGGTAGACTCAGCCTCTAACGGAAATGAGTACCAGGCATCTCCCGGGTGGTAAAGGGCGTCCGACGCTTAAGGCTGAGAGCCTCATCGCCACGTGTGAGCCGACTGTATAGAAAAATGTGGGAACTTCGACGTCTCAGAACCCTATGGGTCTGCACTGCTGTTACAGGGATAGCTTTACTTTTCTTTTTTCTGTTGTAAGGGAACTTGAAGATTTATAACGACCATAGCTTACACTCACCATTCAATTCTGTCCAAATCATTTCAATCTGTTCACTTCATCATAATCCATTTTAATATGCGTCTACGCCTAGATCTTGCAAGTCGGTTCTTTTAGGGTTTCTATTCAAAATTCTGTGTATGTTTTTTATCCCCATTGCAATTGTCGACCAGTGTCACATTCATGTATCTTATGTTTCTGTTTCAGATGCGGGTCTCTGGGCAGCTTCAGTACCGAGCAAATCAGCTTCAGCGGCAGATGGTAAGTAGAGACCTGGTCTTCCATCCAAGGAGTCCTGCCACGTGAATCAGTAACTCAGGAACTTTGACGATAGGGCTTGGGGAACTGGTCAACCGCACACTGCTGTTCGCTTTTCTTTGCAACGCGCTACTCTCAGTTGGCAAAGCTGAGGCTTGAATTGCCCATAAGTCACACTTGCTGTCCCAACACAAATTCTCGTTCCTGTCCTTCTTTTCCTTTTTACATAATCATATTTTCCCTCCCTTTGTCCTAGGATCTCGTAACTGCTAATCATTCCGTTCACTTTTCTTTGAATTCCTCTCTTAGAGACAGTGTCACGTAACTTCGAACAAGGCCCCGCATTCCTAGTGAAATCCCGCGCATAGCTTGTGGTGGGAGGAGTTTCTTAACACTCGTTCTTCCACTGGCCGCCTGTCACTTCTCACACCCTTCACCCCCTTGTCTGAAATTTTTCCTCTGCGCATTCAAGGTTACTCTTGGCCTTGTTCGAAGTTACATGACACTTGCTATACATTGCCTCATGAATTTCACTGTGCTTTAACCTCCCCATTTTGTGTTTTAAAATTTATTTCCAATTAATTATTTTTCTTCTCTTCTCTTATTAGAAAATATATGCAGTTTCAGCTACAGCAAATTAATTTTTCATCATCCTCAGAAATATGTTTACAGGCGAAGAACCTACCGCACAGGAGTTGAAGGTGAAAGTTCTTTTAAATGTATGGTACAAGGATGCTTGCTGTAATTTATTCTTTGCAGGAAGCATATAAAATGGACGCATGATGGGAAGGATTTTAGACAAAATTTGGTGTTGGGGGTGATAAACTAACGTTGTTGAACGAATTTCATTTTGGCCCGTATCGGGCACTGAGTTCTCGCTTAAGATTCGGTTAGTTTCCTTCTGCCGGGAAGTTGGTTGTGAAGGGGGTGGCTAGACAGAACTAATCTCCCCTGGGCCCTTTTGATCACCACTTGAGATCGTGCCGCGTTTAGGAAGGCGAAGCAATAACAAAGACAGCGCTAATGTGGAAATAGGACCAGACTGGCATGTAGTTAACAAATAAGTACAGTACACAAATAATATTATATATATTTGAACAAAAGTGACCTCATCTTGGTGTGGTTTACAATCCACAGTTCGGTAGATTACAGGGGCTGAAGCATAAAAACGGTGTAACAGATAAATCAAATACATATAATAAAATGAAAAGACAACATTCAGCCTGAGAGGAGGGCTAGACGAAAATACATATACCAATCAGAGGGAGTCTCCGGAGGTGAGTAATCCAAAGAAATCTGTAAAGATAAGGATGTAGAAAAACAGGCCAAACCTGTTTCATAAAACACAGTCTGATCTCACGGTCCCGGTCCCCAATCAACGTAAGTTCCCGTAGCCACCTCAGAGGACATCGTCACATCTGGAACACGTATCGGCTCCGACTCCAAATCCCGAATGTCGGGGGAATGCTCTGCAGTACCATGGCTGGCAACATACGTATGACCAAAGGGGAGGGTGTTCGGGAAGGCATCTATAGAATGTTCCAGAAAATAAAATTCACTGATCAGGGCAAGTCGCGGCTCAGTGTTCCGTCATAGGAATACTTAATGCGAGGTGTGTGACAGGCTTAAAGATGCAGTAACTTCGTTGCTGAAAAGGGTTCTCATTCGGCCGAGACTATAAACTATTGACATTGCGTTAGTCATGTTCGGTTTCAACTGAAATCACTCACAAGGACAGATTTATTCATTCTGTCGGGTCTTCACTGTCGCGAGAGAGTTTACTTTTCTGTCTTTTAATATCTGTAACTTATTTCATAAAAAAATTAATAAGGTTTCAGCAATCCTGTAAGAGTTTCACCGTGTGAATGCGTATTGCATATCATAATTTGACACAGAAGGGTAATAGTCACTGCCTCACCATTTTGGTGAATGAGATGTAATTTGCGTTAACTGCCATTATCAGTCACAGAAAGTAAAATTGGAACGTATCTTGTGTATTTTGCAACATTATACTTTTACTCTATAAAAGAACACCACTAAGGTACTGAGCATAGTAAAAACAGCATTTGGAAAATGTCTGTAGTCCATGGCATACTTTGCTGGTGTGCAGAGTAAAATGTCATGTTTTTGGGAGCGGGAGAAAGAGAGACGATCAGATGGGAGTTTAGCACGCTGACTTAACTGCGAATCTTACAATGTTTGCAAATAATGGAAGGAATGCAAAAATTACTATGCAGTGGAATGCTAATTCTCATTTTCTTGCAAACCATTGAAGATCATACCCATTTTTATTAGAAATTTTCGACTTAAAATGATTTCAAGAGCACACATTTAAGCTATGGATATCCTCTTGCGGGACACTCTGTATAAAGTGTGAAACGAAATTCATGCACGAGCTCTCTATAGTGTGATTCCTTGTTAAAAACAAGTCGAAAATGTTGTACAACGTGTTCTGAAATGCTTAGGTTTCGCGATACACGTCACAGGGGCAACGTATTTGTCATCAGTGTTATTTGTCAATACGATACGTGGCGGGGTGTTAGGTGTACTTAAGACCCACAGTGAACAACCGAGGCCAGTTGTGATAGAATGGTCGTGGAACACACACACGACAAATGCTGTTACATGCATGTAATTCTAGGCATCTTAATGGTCGAATTGGTACTGCTGTTTGGAAATACGCGCCACTTTATCCTGGTCGTCGTCATGCAGACACTAATGTGTTTCGACGATCTGTGTAGTTTCTCCGGTAGACAGGAAGTGCAACACCTACGGCCCACGTAGATGCAGGTCGCCCACGGACTGTACGGACACCAGCCAATGAAGATACCATTGCAGTTGTGTAACGAGATGTGCTGAGAAATTTACGCGACGTCTCACTAGAATTGGGAAGTTCTTTAGGACAGGCGCATCCATACTGAGCGCACATCTGTTTCCAGACGATCGGCCTCTACGGATCGCAGTTTTGTGAATGGCTGCAACATCAACACTGTGGACGAACCTTTTGAGATAATGTTCTGTGGTCAGATGAAACATGTTTTACTCGTGAGGGTATGTCCAACGTCCACAACGGTCACCTCTGGGCATGGGATAATGCTTGTGTTGTCCCGGAACGTGGGTATTAAGTCCACCTCACCGTCAGCGTTCGGGTTGGAATCGTCGGGGACATTGCCGTGAGTCCCTACTGCCTGACGGGCTGGCTGCTGAGCGACGTTAACTTGAAGATGTGCATCCAATTGAGAGGCAGACTGAGCTCCAGCGCACTATGGGCAAGACGTCCGGCGGTGGTTGAACGCGACTTGAAGTCGAGGGCGAATGAATGGCCTGTCAATTGCAGGATCTAAGGCGGGTGGTCTTTCTTCTCGTGGAGCACCTGTAGGAGCACGTTCATGTACCCCGTCCCAGGACTATCGAAGCTTTCGTGCCGCAACTTCAAGCAACTGTGACAGCGATCGATGCCAACATGTCAAGGCGTGTTTGAGAAAATGCCATGCGGCGCACTGCCGTCTGCCTCGAAATGGATGGAGGCCGTTTCGAGCGCGTTATAGCTACGAGGCGCGCATGGATTGATCATTTGATAGCCTCCGCCATTAGACGGTGACGTATATCGTGAGAACTAAACATCACTGGTCATTTGTTATACGCTATGGAGTGCTTGAGGCAGATTTAATTTATTTTCATTTACTGATTGACACTTTCTCAGTCACACCGAGCAGGATCACGCCGCAATAAAGCTCTAAACGTGCATTCTGGAGGTGCTGGTTCGGATATTGCCTGGAACACCGACTCGCTTGACTGACTTTTCGTGATTTTCCATAGTTCCTACAGGCAAATGCCGTCATTGTAACTCGATAAGGCTACCACTATTTCCTTTAAGATCCTTTCAAATTGAGTATTTATTGAATTTGATTTGTTTCATTCTGGTCCGTCACACTAATATTATGAAAATCTTAACCAGTCACACTGGACGGAACTATTTAACTTCTTCATGAGAACCGTATTTACGCATGTATAGGCCGCAGCACAATTTTCAGACAGAAATTATAGAAAAAACAATTTTCTTGGAATATTATTTCAGGAGTAGAACACTCTGTATTACTAATTATGAATATAATTTTTTTTAAATGAAGTGTGATTTCGAATATAAGCCGCACCCCAGTTTTCCTCTTGAATTTTTGGCAACAAATGTGCGGCCTATACATGCGTAAATACGGTATTTATTACTCATCCTACTACCATTCGACGATGTATAGGCCTACTCCATATATTGAAAGCGTTGTAAAATAATTCGCAAAATCTTGCGTCAGATGGGTGGCTGATTGTCAGCGGCGAGTTGAGTGGAGGAACTGAAGATAACTGTTAAATTCTTAGTCAGTATAGCCTGTTTCCGGGATGAGAATCAAAACCAAGACCTCCTGAGTGTAGCTGTTCAGCGGCGAAATTCATTGGATTAAACTGAAATTGACCCTACAACTTTTAATGTTGGCCCCTTACAACATTCCATCGAAACACGCAAAAGTAGCAAAAAAAAAAAAATATATATATATATATATATATTGCGGTCTAGCACATACAACCTTCTAACGAGGAGAAAGCGAGATATCTATCAAGTGCCGCCCACGTGTACTGTGCAAGCTGATAGCATCGGCACCATTTCCGGAACGCTTATCATAGCCCTTGGTACAGTGAACAAGAGAATTGCCAATGGTGACCTGTCCTATTCTCCACTTGCCTCACCTTCTTCATGTTGAAGGACAGTATTTCCTGTGCAAATGATGCATACAATAATAGTGCAATGGTCATGCAGTCATTGATAAATCTAATCGAATGATGACGATACAAAGAATAACAAGCATCAGCCTCCCTCTTTACCATTTTCTTTGGCCCTTTTGTCTTCTATCTTCCTTCCTTTCTTTTCTTGCCTCGTTCACCTTCATTACTTACTCATGGAGCTGAGCCCTTCTGGAGAAGCCGCCAATTCTGCGGCTACTCAAGGATTTCCT